AAAAAAAAAAAAAAAAAAAGCATTAGCCTTGCAGAAACTACAGATTCAAAATGAAAAAAATAAAAATAAATAAATAAACAGGTTAATAGCTTTAATAAAGAATAGATCTGCCTGGAGGCTGGGAAGATCAGAAAATTAATGGATGTGTTCTCAATAGTGCACCATGTGCCTTAAGACAGGACCATGGTCCTCTGAGGGAGAAAAGTAAGTGGTTCCATGAAGCTGGAAAGTAAAGAATTGTGGGCCAGGAAAGTCAGAAACCAGCTGATGGTCTTATACTAGAGTGGCCCACAGCCAGGCGTGAGGGCTGGTGTCTGCAATCTCATAGTCAGGAGGTAGGGACAGGGCAACTGCCATTACATGAAGGCCATCGTGGGCTTCTGGTGACTTCAGGGTCAGCCAAGGCTTCAAAGTGAGACCTTGCCTCTAAAAAAACCATTTAAAGGGGAAGTGAAAGGACTGTTAACATCTACATTGAAAATGAGAGACCTCTTGCTGTGCCTGCATAGAGAAATACTGGGTCCTCCTTATGCATATATATCTGTATGCACAGGAGAGGTACAATTCACTCTTATCATCTGGGAAAACTAGAATTGTATCTATCTATTCAAACCATGCAGCTTGCAGCACTTAGTCTGAGTTTTCACCTCTGTAGCGTTAAGATGTCCAATTAAAGGACCCCTGGCCCTCAGAACTCTACATTTTATAATTTCAGCATCAGGTCACCTCAGGCACCAGAGTCCAGAGAAGCACTTATCAGGAAAATCATATATGAATAAATAAAAGCACTTCAAACATTTAGAATTCTAACTAGTAAATGTTAACTGAGGTAGACCTACTTTGAAATCAGCAGCATGAAGATGTTTTATTATTTCTTTCTTATCTATAAAATAAGGCCTATCTCAAACTAACTAAACTTACCATCTGTTCAGTGCACAACTTTTATTTGTCACCGACAAGTTGCCAGAGTCTCCAACTCTAAGTCATAAAGAAAGAGTTTGAGTTTTCATAAAGACGACATAAAAATTCTCAGAAAGACTGCATGTGTGACAGCAAGCAATAACATTGTTTAAACTACAGCTACCTTTGTAATGAGTAATCCCCAAACCATGGCTGCCATTCATCAAATTACATTGTGCTCTATTCTGTTGTATGAGGCATATTTATACTTGAGTTTCTGGATCATTTACACAAGTAATTCATATAAACAGCTATGCCTAAAGACCCTATTTCTCTCATGATCATCAACTGTTCTCAGAAAAATGTAACTAATATTTTCCTTAAAGTAACGTGTCAAATGCCAGGAAAATTTGACTCTGTGTACCCACCTCTGCCACCTTGCTGGCACAGACATTAACTCAGATCACCCTAACACCATATGTTATAAAATAACTGTTAATGAGATGTCAGGTTGTACAGTGGAGACTTGATACTCTGATGGTCCCATGTTACCCTGTTAAAACTGAAACTAATTAGCACCGACCTTGAGAGTGATTTTCACTAAGTATAAACGGGGAAAGAAAATCTTACAGATTAAAACCAAGTTAGACTGCAATATTCATGTATTTTGGAGCACATAGCTTGATTTTTGGAAAATAATAATGTTTCACCAAAAATAAACTAAAAAGCAAAAATAAAAAGAAAGACCTCAAATCTCAGCCCTCCTTGTATTCTAGAGATGCATGGAAAACAGGAAAGTCTTGAAGTTAGAATGTTTTATTAAACTTGTTTAGGAAAATCTAAAAATAATAGAAATAAATTTAATTTTTAAAAATGCCTTTCTTTCTATTTGTCTAATATTTACCAATGTGCTCTTTTCTCTTAGTTTTAGAGAAATAAGGAAGAAGAATTTCATACTTGAACAATGGGAAAAGAATGTATCCTTCCATGTCCAATTGGATCGGCACTACTTTAAGTCAGCACTGGCATTGCACATTACAGTTTGCAAATTATTTTTGAAGGCCAGACAGTCTTGGGGAAAAACTGTCAAAAGCAAACTTATTCCAGACCGGGGGCTATTTACTGATTTTTCCCAGGAGGTTTTCTGATATCAGTTTTCCCTACAATCTACGGTAAATCCACTTACCAGGTTGGTTCTTAGGAAAGAAGTTATTTTTTTTCTGAAATAAACAAGATATATTAGATGATGCATTTACTAAAAGTTAGAAGAAAGAATGACATTCCTTATTACACAGTGTACTATCATGCAGTATGCAAATGTTAACTGAGAAATCATACCGTCACCAAAGCTAAAATGTAAATATTGAACTTCAAAGAACAGCGGTGGTGGTATCCCAGAGGAAATCTGCAAAGACTATGATATCATCAAATAAAAGTCATTGATGCCATCAAAAAGAAAACCTGAAAACATACATACGAGTGACATTATTTGGACTGGACAGTTTATATTTGGGAATATATATTTATAGACATATATATGTGCATGCAATAACAACTGGAGAGAAAAGAGGCCTTGAATTTGAAGCAGGAGAGGTATATGAGAGAGCTTGAGTGGGGAAATGGAGGAGGAAATGCTGTAATAATATTATAATCTCAAAAATAAAATAAAATAAAATAGAAGAGAAAACATAAGGACATTGCTTCATAGAATCCTTGGAAATTGGAAATATTTGCCATGCCTATTCCACATGACCTTTGTAATTATGCATTATGGGCATATTTCTGATGCCTTAAAACTATGAGCTTATTTGTGTAGGAAGAGGGGCTAGAGAGTGGTTAAGAGGGATTACTGTTTTTCAGAGGACTGAGTTCAATGCCCAGGACCCACGTCAGGTGACTCACTAACTGCCTGCAACTCCAGCTCCAGGAGATTCAACACCATTTTCTGGTCTCAGAACATCTCCATACACCAACCCCACCCATCTCTCTCATGCACATGGATCCACACACTAAATCTTAAAAATATCCAGAGAGAACAAATGTTGTTAGGATTCTTCAACTACCCAGAGCACAAAATCTTAACTGTACTTAACTGTATGAATCTCACAGCATCTACCCTGCTCATGTGCATTTGTTTCAAAAAAACAAGAGTTCCATTCAATACAAATAAACAATAGTTTTGATCATTTATATGAGTTTCAATCAGATATCTTAAATTCATGAGTTCATTCTTTTATTTCCCTATTGTATCCAGAGTTCAAAAAAAAAAAAAAACTAAGGGAGGAAGACTTGGTCTACTATTTCTGCTTTTGGTAGTGAGGAGGGGGCCCATAAGTCAATGAATGTGTGTGGTCTCAAAAGGCACACACATTCTAAAGTATAAGAAAACCAAGCTCTGCTGGCATTTTAATGGGTCAGTGCAACTCAGTTAAGTTCTGATGTAGAATTCAAGTCAGTGTTGAATGAATTAAGCCAAGTTTGTAGCAGCTTCCTATAGCATTTTAGAAAAATAAAAAGTCAAGTGTGGTGCTACAGTGGGTCTTGAGAAGCACAGACTTGGCACTGTAGATCTTTCATGTAGAGGAGAGATTATCTTCCCAAACTGGGATGGAAGGACTTCTCTACTTGTAGAAGAGGTAGGATTTAGAAATTGAAAGTTCCTAGCTTCATCATCCTCTCCACATACATCTCCACCTTAATTTGGAGGACCCATTCATTCTCACCTAATGGCATAACTTTAGCAGAAGACAAGCTGGACAGTTTATAATTCATTTAGGGTTCAAATTCAGACACAGAGTGAATTTGTGAGTTTTATTTTCAAAAATGTAAACTCTATAGCTTTAAGAGATAAAATTTTGATTCAAGACCTATTTATAAGCTTTCAATTATGTATGTGAGGCCCAAGTTGGGAACACAAGTCCTCCCTTTCTCCAAAGTTCATAGGAGCCACCAGAAATCCCCTTTGTACTTTTTTGAGATTATAGTATAATTACATCACTTGTCCCTCCCCCTCTTCCCTTCAACCTCCCATGTAACTCCCTTTCTCTCCTTCAAACTTATGATGCTCGTTTGTTCATTGGTGTTACATACATGTATGTGTGTATTCCAAAATTCACAAATACAACCCACTCAGCCTGTCTAATGTCACTTGTGTGCATTTGTTTTCAGGGCTATTTGGTATCAGATAACAAATTAGTGTGCTCCTCCCTGGAGAAGACTCATTCTCCCTCTCTCAGCATTCCTCAGTTGCTTGTAGTCCTTTTCATAGAGTAGATTTTCTCAACCAGAAAATCAGAACCACTGTAGGATATTTACTAAGAAATTATTGAAAGGAATTCCCTAATACAACAGTAGGGGTCCAACGGCCAAGTCTAAACTGGTGGGGACAAGTCTAGCACTTTAACTTTCAAGTGTGAGCTGAAGCTGCTGTGCACTTGAGAACTGGAGGCCTTTCAGTGGTTTAAATCAGGCCCAGCCATCGTATCTGGAATAAATTCTCTTAGTTAAAGTCAACAGATAGTATACTTTATTCACACCTTTGAAACACCCTATAGCAACAATGCCTAGATTAATGTTGTATTAAATAACTATTGATTGTGGCTTAGCCAAGGTGATACATCATAAGGATCACCATAAGGGATATAGTCAAGAAATGGAAGCAGCTTGACAAATGGCCTTCATGAGAAGAGCTCAGCTGGAAGACCGTTATTCTTCATGCTATGGCCTGTTCACATCAACGTCAGGAACGGACTTTTCCAAACAGTGAAGTCAATGCAAACCATGTTCTCTCTTCTCTGTTTTACCTTTCAAGTGATCAGCATCCCTTCAAACAAATGCTGACAAGTACTTTAGTAATATTGGCTTCTTGGGCCAATTAGTTACTCAGTTTTCTGGGATGACTCCCTATCCCAGTTTGGTCATGCTCCAAGCATACTTTTAGTTGGTCATGCAGAAAGCAAAGCCACCTGTTAAACATCTGGCCCACAATCAGGGAAAATGATTTGCATTAGTCACCCCAGGATGAATAACAGAAGGCCATGGATTTAAACAAAGAGAACTTAAAAGAAATGCATTTTCACACAGTTCTAGGGGCTAAAAGTTGAGATCACAGTGTTTGCAGGTATGGATCTCCAGTGACTTTGCGCTTGGTCATCAAGTGGCAACTTCTTGCTGTGTCCTCACGTTGTCTTTATTCTGTGCATATCTATCATGTGCGTCTCCCATCTTCTTCCTCTTGTATCAAAATAAATCTGACTGGATTAGGGCCCATTCTAACACCCTAATTTAGCTTAACCATTCCTTTAAAGTCACATGTTCAACTATAAGAATACTCTGAGGTTCTGGGTAAGCCAGCGATATGTGAACCCAGGAGATGATCATCACACAAAGTAATTCTTAAATTTGCAGCTTATGAATTCATCCCTTGGGCCTTCATGGTGTTACTACATATCATCTGCTTACTGAAAAGAAGTAAATAATGACTATATTCTATGGTAAACAGTGTAGGCAACACTCATAATACCATTAGAGTTCAGATCTGGAGACTTCAGTTCTGCTTTCACAAGCTGGGTACATCATATTTGGATAAAAATATAGGAAGTCCAATTCTATATCACTGACTCTAGGGTGAGCAACTGTCCCCACACCCTCAGTGCTGCACTCAAACGTACATCTGGGCTATCGTGATCATCAGTTTCTCTTCTAGCAGAAAAAACAGGCCTCATAAAATCCAACCCTTAGGTAATAGATGATCATTATGATACTGATACACATTATTGAGCTTTGGGATGTCTGTTTTCCCTTTGATCCCCACGGCACACAGCCACTTTTGCCACACATGCAGCTGTTCTCTCAACATGGGATGAACACTCTGAAGTAGGTGAGTAGACGCTGAACTGTTTAATAGCCACAAACCAGTAGATGGTCTCGGTGGGCACAGGAACAACTTTTGTTTCTCGTGGGTTTCTTGGGACAGTAAGAGAACTGCTAGGGGGTAAGGAGGACAGAGACGTCTAGAGCTGAGGGGAGGTTTCTTCCCAAAAGATTCATGCTGGAAGCTGTCTCATGAACTCTGTTACCGGGTGCAGGGCCTGTGGTGTACCCTCTCTGAAATACAACAATCTTAGACCTGCACATGAAAAATCAGTATCTATAGACTTCTCTTTGGTAGTATACCTTTCTGAGATGCTAAAACATGTATTTATTTAAGTCAAACACTTTTTCTTTTTTACTAAAAATATTTTTTTTCATACAATATATTCTGATCGTGTCATGAGAGGGTGCCCACACCTGATACTACCTGGATGGTCAGGAACAACTGGCAAAAAAAAATTCAGTGCAATTATTCTTAATGATATTCTACTATACTCATAGGTTGGTACCTAGCCCAGTCATCATTAGAGAGGTTTCATCCAGCAATGGATAGGAGCAGGTGCAGAGATTCACAGCTCAAGGAAACATGTGGAAGAGGGGGAGGAAGTATTGGAGGAACCAGAGGGATTGAGGACAGCATAAGAACAGCCCACAGAATCAACTAAGCCGGGCTCATAGGAGCTCAAAGAGGCTAAACTAACAATCAGGGAGCCTGCATGGGTCTGAGCCCGGTCCTCGGCATACATGGTATGGTTGTGTAGCTTGGTGTTCTTGTGGGACTCCTAGCAGTGGGAACTTGGCGGGGGGATGTCTCTGACTCTTTTGCATACTCTTGGGCCCCTTTTATTTTTACTGGCTTACCTCATCCAACCTTGATATGAAGATTTGTGCCTAGTATTATTGTAACTTGCTATGCTGTGTTTGATTAATATCCCGAGGAGGCCTGCTCTTTTCTGAAGGAAAATGGAAGGGGAATGGCTCCAGGGGAGAGGGTCAGGACTGAGAGGAATGATGGGAGGGGAAACTGAAGGCAGGATATACTGTATGAGAGAAGAATAAATAAAAATAAAATAATAGTAATAATAATAATTTTTCGTACATTATATTCTGACCATGATATCCCCTCCCACAACTCCTCTAAGACCCTCTCCACCTCTTCACTCATCCACCAGACCCTCCCCGTGTCCTAACCCATTCAACTCCATGTCTTCTTTCTCTCTCTCTTAGAAAACAAATAGGCAAACAAAAAAATAAAAAAATGAAAACCTGACAAAAGCACAAGAAACATACCAACACTCACATAGACACATATAAAACTCATAAAAATACAAAATAAGAATCCATAATACACAGGCAAAAGGCAAAACTGCTCAAACATAGCAATATGAGCCAAGAAGTCTACAAAAATACCATTGAGTTCATTTTGTGTTGGCCATCCACTACTAAACATGGCCCTGCTGTAAGTATGGTTAATGTACCCAGTGGACTACACTGTAGAAAATTAATTTTTCCTTTGCAAGCAGGTTTCACTTGAAGTTAACTGTTCCTTTCCATATTCCCTCACGTACCCCCTTGTAGATGTAACCAACTGTCTTATTAAATAAGAAACACAGAACCAATGTAAAAGAGAAAGCCAAGAGGTCAGAGCTCAGAGCTAAAACCTTACCCTTCCTCCTGCAGTGCTCCTACCTCTCCGAAAGAGACCTACTTCCTGTGTGTATGTCTTTACATAGTCTTTCTGTTCTGCCTTCTCATTGGTTGTAAACCCAAACATGTGACTGCCTCATCACTGCCTGTATGTACAGCCCTCCAGGTCTTAAAGGCGTGTGTCTCAGATGCTGGCTGTATCCCTGAACACACAGAGATCTACCTAGCTCTTCTACCAAGTGCTGGGATTAAAGGCATGCGGGGCCACCGCCGCTGCTGCTGCTGCCACAGCCACACTATTGCTATGGCTCTAATAGCTCTGACCCCTGGGCAACTTTATTTATTAACATACAATTAAAATCACATTTCAGTACAAATAAAATACCACCATACCCCCTCTTCCTTCACCTCTCCTTTAACCTTCCCAGTCTCCCTCCTGTCTCTCGATAACTGTATGTTCTATTTCCCCTTCCTTGGGAAATTCTCCCCAGTTCCCATTCCTTTACTCCATACCTAACCTCTGTAGTTACACAGATCGTAGTATGTCTATTGAGGTCTTAGATGCTAACATCCACATGTAAAAAAAATGCATACAATGTCTGTCTATTTGAATCTGGGTTACCTCACTTAGGCTGATTTTTTTCTAGCTCAATTCATTGACCTGTGAATTTCATAATTTCATTTTTAACAGCCAAGTAATATTCCATCATGTAAAATGTACCATTCATCCATTGATGGACATCTAGATTGTTTCCATTTTCTGGCTGTTGTAAATAGAGCAGCTATTTGAAAGGAAGTGTAATGAAATGGGAGATGGATGTAAAGGATTACTCCTGAAATACATATAGTTCTCTAACTTTTTTCTTTTACATTAAAGATGTATTTATATAGTGTGTAATAAAACATGAAGAACATGATTAAAATAGAACAAAAAGCACTGAGAAATATAGAATTCTACATGCTAATAAAAAGCTAGCCAAGAAAAGTCAAATTAAAAATAGCAAGTCTAAAGTGACCTCTTAAGTTCAATATGAGGGAAAATGTAAATACACTCAAAGCCAATTGATAGCATGCATAAAAATGAGGATCTATTTTTGGGTAGTGATATAATTAAAAGAAATTTTAACTTCAACATTTTGTCATTCCTATACTATTTGAATTTTTAGTTTTAATGTGCATTGCTTTTTCTTCTGATCAAAAATTGGCTGGTTTAACAAGTATTATGACTTCAATTACTTGCGGTTGTCCTCAGTGGACTTACTGACTTAGTTCTCTCTTGTCTCTCTTTCTCTCTGTGTCTTTCTGTCTCTGTCTGACTCTCTCTCTCTCTCTCTCTCTCTCTCTCTCTCTCTCTCTCTGTGTGTGTGTGTGTGTGTGTGTGTGTGTGTGTGTGTGTGTGTGTGTGTGTGTGTTGCTGGGAATTGAGCATATGGCATCATGTACACTAGTCCTTCCTGGCCAGTTTTATTGGACTAATATGTAACACTGGGCTAATTGTCCAGGAGTCTTTCTTTACCTCCATATCCCATCTCATTATACTTCCTTTCCCATTGGCAGTCATTGCTGTCAGTTAAAATATGTCCTCCTACTTTTTCTCTATGCATTTTTCTCCCCCCCCCACCCTCTCAGCAGTTTTTTTGATTTTCTGCTTTCATAAATGAAATGATGAACAATGCTAACTTTCAGTCCTTATCAAATTTCAAATACTAAAGAACACTCAAGAAGAAAGGCAGTCCGTTGATTACTCCAGCCCTTTTTTCTCAAGGCTGTCCCCTCCTATCTTGCTGGTATTTCTTGTATTGTAGCCACTGAAAACATATCATAATCACTGGGAGTTAAGCCACCCAAAAGAACGAGGTGTATTAGTAAGCATATCAGGCCTTTAGTTCTCTCTTCTTTAAGCTTTAGCATTATAAAATCAAGCCAAGGAGAAAAACAATGGAAGAAAAAGGGAGAGATATTGGCATTTTGGGGCTCTTGGGTACCTAAGCCATTGGTTTTAGATATAGTTCACTCCAGGACTCAGTCTGCTTTACCTCTTGCAGTCAGGGAGATGGAGATGGGACTTGAAGCATGTAAGATCTTGGATAGAATGCTGCAAAGAAAGTTAGTGATTGGAAAAGAAATGTGCAAAAGCCAAGTGGAAGCTAAAGCAAAGGTGTCTTGGAAATTTGATTTAGTGAGTTAAAATTGCAGCCTCTGTCCTGTACTTCCCAAAAATACCCCATAGGAACTTTGTAAAGCCCCAAAGTACTTAACTAATGTATTTAAGGCATATTTTATGTGTCTATTTGTATACAGATTATTTGCTAACTTTTGAGTAAGAAATGATCTCTAAATATCCTTGTGTCTACTAATATCCTAAGGTAAAGGAACGCTCTGGAAGGCTTCCCATTTTCCAAATGTAATATTTTCCAAAATAAATGTTGGAGTAACTGTAATAAAAAATAAATGAATACTAGAGCAGCAATTAACATGGATGAGCAAATGTCTCTGTAGTAGGATATAGAGTCCTTTGTGTATATGCCAAAGAATGGTATAGCTGGGTCTCTAGGTAGATGTCTTTCCATCTTCCCGAGGAACTGCCACACTGATTTTTATAGTGGATGTACGTTTGCACTCCCACTAGCAATGAAGAAGTGTTACCTGTCCCCACATCCTTGCCAGCACGAGTTGTCATTTTTCATCTTGGCCATTCTAAGTGGTGAATGTGCTTTTTTGCAACCTCTCAAAAAAATCACTCAGTTATATAACTTTAAACTTATTTACTATGATGAAGCAATCATAAAAGTAGGAAAAATATTACTTAGAGTCCTGATGGTAATGATCATCCATTCCTTTGAGTCAGCAAGATGAACACATACTGTATTTCCTCAAGTGTCCTGTAGTAAATCAGAAATATGATAGCACCACTCTACTACGTACTCCAATGTCTGATTCCACTTTTATAAAGATAAACTAGTAGAATTCCTAAGTATCAAATAATACAATATGTATTCAGATTTCCATTCCAAACCTGTACCATGAAGGTTTTTTACAACAATTCTGATCAACCTAGAAATCAAATTATATCTGTATATGTGCATTTCGTTGAACAAAAAACATTGATTTTACTTCAGAAAACTACCTAATGCCCACACATAGCCTGAATTTTATCCTTTTGTTTGTTTGATTGATTTGATTGATTTATTAATTGATTTTAGGACTGGATAATAAACCCAGGTTACATACCACTGAGTTATACCCCTAGCTAGAATTAATGTTAAGTTTGTGTACTAACTCCAGGTTTGATGAGGCCTTTTGTTAACATTACTAGCAGGAAGAAACTGCCTCTTGTCTTTGAGACCATTAAGGTGTAGT